AACTTCGTTAGCCGTGTTGAGCGATTTTTGAAAGAGGAAAATCTTATAGGTTCGCGTTACCCATGACTTCGACATGACTACGTCACGAGCATGCCTACTACGCGTCGCTATTCTACATCATTGAGTTTTCACTTCTGTCAGCAGTCCTTATGACTGCCTCAATTTTGTTTTGTATTAAATGTCAACGCATGTGAACTATTAATGGAAAACACGAAATAAGTGCTCCGAAACCCAGAAGCATGAAGTCCTGGTATTATGTTATTCTTTTAATTTTTAATTAAGATGTAGAAGTTTTATTTATATTAAAATAATTTTATATACCATTTACAAGTTATAAAGAATCGCCTGAATTCCGCCTAAAGCTTACAACTTGCACCCGAAATAATATGCATAAAAATTCGTAAGCCGTATCATTTAATGTGCGGCTACAACGTACTTTATTAAATTTTCTGTTTACTTACATATTCTTGGTAAGAGATTTATGCTACTCTTAAATCTGTTTAAGAATATTATGTTGATTGAAATGGTGTATTTTTACGTGCCATTCTTCTTTTTGTTCTTTATCAGCCAGTAAAATACCACTACGTAGTGGACGTATCGTGTAGTGGCGGTGTAAGAATATCCAGTCTATAATAGTCCAGCTGAACATAGCCCATAGATTGTCTTGTCTTATAGGAGGGATTTTGACATAGTTGTCACGCTCGGTAGGCGGGATGGAAACCACAATTCTTTTATTATTTTAAGTTGTTATTAGGAAGTTGCTGCTGCCCATATCCTGTTTCAGTTTCACTCTGTCACCTCTTACGGCACCCACGGAGCGATATGAGGTAGTGGATATTCTTACACCGCCACTACACGGTACACGGTGTCAGAATATTCACTACTTCTTACATTCCGTAGGTGTCGTAAAAGGCGACAGAGGGAAACAAACCAATATATTATATATGGGTAGCAGCGTCTTCCATGAAATAACCTAAAACTAAAAAACTGCGGTTATCAACATGCCCGCTAAGCCTTTTGATATACAGATGGTGGTCTGTGTTTTTTTAGGTTAGGGTGACAAACGAGCACACAGTCCACCTGATGGTGAGTGGTTGCTGTGACATCTACATCTGTCCTTAATAAAGAATCAAAATGCAGATGTGTTGTCATCCGTGAGGACAAAGATGGAATGCCTCTTTTCCAATAAAAGGGTTATCCGGTTTTCTACATTCACCAAACGAAACACAGCAGCATTAAGCTGCTATTTTACGCTGGTATTCTGTGAGACCGTGGTCTTTCCCCGGTTGAGCCGACCCATTCGTGCTACAACTATACTACTAATATAGCAGCAGCATGGCTTTACCACGTAAAACACTATTACTAACACATGCTCAAACTCTACTCAGTTTTAAGATATCCTTAAGTCTCGTGGTATCACAGTCACTTTGACTTAAAGTGATAGATGCAGCACGGGACTTAACGGCGAGGATTTGTATTTCTAGTCTCACTTGGCAGGCTTATATCTTTAATAACCGACAACCGATGGGACGTAAGGTTCTCGAGTGGCAGCCTCACTAGATGGAGTAACGACCTGGTGACACATTAGGAAGTTGAAGGGTGCAGGTGATTCAGGACCTTGCTTCATGGTATTCTTTTGAGGAGGCCTTCAGAAGTGGACTTGTGAAGGGCTGTAAGGATCATGACGATGTTTGGCAGGTGGATTGATGATTGCAGTACCAGACTTCACGAAGACACTACTGCCCTCTGCCGGTTTGGCAGTTTTACGTCTGGTGCATACATGATGGTTATTTACTGTCATTTATTGGAAGCGATAAGGCTTTTCTGACATACATGGTCGAGCATACTACAGCTATAATATGTACATACCTTTATATAAGAAATGTGTATGGAATTGCTATATAACAGTGGCGTAGTAGTATTAATTTCGTCCTGTGAACGTCGTAAGGGGAGACTTTATGATATTTTTAACCACACAGTTCACCTGATGGTAAGTGGATGCTGTGGCCGTAGATATCTAGATCTATTTTCAATAACAATCAAAATGCAGATGCATGTCACCCTTGAGGACTAAGATAGAATGCATTATTCCGACTAATAAGGGTCTCTGGTTCTTTACATTCATAATACGAAACACACCAGTTTTAACGCGCTACTTTACACTGGTATTCTGTGAGAGCGTGGTCCTTAACCGGTTAAGCCAACCCATTCGTCCTACAACTATAATATTATAGCTGCAGCGTAGCTTTACTACATTAATCCTTACTCTTTTCTAATATAGTAACCTTATTTCAAAGTGTAACAATAAAGAATAAAAAATCCAGTTAGCTCGGATAAATAGTTTTTTAAGTATGTTTATTAGTCAAAAGTTTAACCTTCAATATTCAGGTTGCTAACTTAAGAGAAGCACATTTATTAACGATAAATATCTCAATATCGTTTAAGAAAAATCGAAGATGAAAAGAAATTCAATCCTTTGTTGTGCACAAAGAAAATGAATACAGTAAATCTTTTTGTACTAGTTCGCGGTAATTCAAAAAAAGTAAATCTGTCCGATCGTCTTGGATGATGATGGAAGGGAAGCAAGGAAGAAAGGCGTCTTATTACAAAAATTGGTTTATTGTTGAAAAAATTGGTTTATTGTCTCTTTTTTTTTGTGTGGTTTTTTTGTAGGCGTGGAAAAGTTTACTGAAAGAACCGTCACCTCCCTTTTTTTTATTTGGATTTGGTATCTCAGCACATATAAGTTCATCCACCATGTCAGGCGAAATGTGGTTAACCATCCACAACAATATATGTATGTGAGGCAGATCTAGTTTCTGCCAGTCGGTAGAGAACATGAAACAACGTACCTCTCCAAATGTTTTTCCTTTGGTTACAAGTGCCATTATTGCATGCCTTAAGCGCAAAGCTCGTAGGTATATTCTACTAGCGCCTAAAAATCAAGATTCCAAAGTTATGTTGCATAAAATCGTATCTAACAATCATATTGAACATATAAATGATATAAAAAGCACATTGTCACAAAGATAAATGATTGTTGAACTTATTAATATTTTTTTAATCGATTAATTGCTATTTCTACAAAAAGTAGTTTTACAGGTTTTGGTTATGATGCAATATATAAATATTATATAGATAATATCACTCCCATGATTAAGGCGACTAATAAAACGACACCTCAAATTATGTTAAAATCCATCAGGCTGTTTAGGCTACAGAGCGCGCGAAAGAAATAGACATACATACAAACTCTTGTTATTACCTTCCCTCCTTCTGAGGCAGTAGGATAATAAAGGTGACATACGAGTCTACCTGATGTTAAGGGGATGCTGTGGCCCACGAACATCTACATCTATCCTCGGTTAAGAATCAAAACGCAAATGCATTGTCACCCCTGAGGACTAAAATGGAATGCCGCGTTTCCTGTAAAAAGAGTCACGGGTTCACTTACCATACGAAACACAGCAGCATTAACATTAAGTAGCTATTTTACGCTGGTATTATGTGAAGGTGTGGTCCAGTCACCCAGTCGAGCTTAACCATAATATGACTCACATATAATTTTGAAACAATGGTTTAAGAAGAGTCCCTTAGCCCGGCCCCAGTCTTCGTGAAATTTGACATTTGCTATAAAATTTCATATTTTACATATTAGTACAAACATATTCGTGGGACTTCATTCATTAAACAGATTTTAGTTTAAACCCGAAAATAACTGTTTTTTATGATATTAAGAGTTTAAACTCTACCCACTTTTGTTTTTGTAATGTACGCGTCAATAAAAGGCAGAGAGCTGGGAACGACCATTTATTGAAAACTTAAATTAACCCACATCACATTTATTATCCAAGTACCGACATAACACTTCCCCCCTATATTTTAAACAATCTAACTCAAACAAACGAAAGACATGCCCTTTTTAAGTAAATATTAATAAACTACAATATCAATACAACAATGTGTAAAGGAAACACCATTAAATTCACTAAGCATGGTTGATGAATGATGGTACAGTAACTAGTTATATAATATATACCTATACATATTTATATGAACGAGATGCCAATATAATACATCAGATAAACTTATATTGATATCTATCTATATTAAACATCGATAGTTGCAACATGTGTTTCACTCCTTATTAGTAGCTGTGCAATGATGAGTGTGATGTATGAAAACAAACCATAAAATATCTTTACATCTCTTTTAATTTGTCAATGCAGCGTAATGCAGCCTTTCTATATACACGATTCTTCGGTGTCGTCGCTTGTTGTCTGTTGGTGTTGTCGTCACGTCTTTCAGACACGGTTCTCGAGGGAGGCAACTCCTGTGCCAGTTGCCATTCTTCTGCGACTTGATCGTCCTGATCAGTGTCAGGCTTCGCCATTGACTCTGTATCAGTTATGTCATACGCCTCCTCTTCCACCTTTGACAATGAAAATCGAGACTTTGGATGTTTAGTTGTTAAGATTTGATCAATGTGTCTCTTGTGTACACGACCATCTTGAGACTTTACTGTATACGAAACTGGACTTTCTCGACGTACCACCGTCCCTTCAGTCCACTTTCCCCGGTTTTGAGAATAGTCCCGTAATAGCACGGAATCTTGGGGCTCAGCCACCCGCAGAGCGGTGTCCCGTCGCTGCTCACTAATCTCCTGCCGCTGTCGCACCAAGTCTCGTGTGTCAGGCCGCAGCAGGTCCAGTCGACCACGCAACCGTCGTCCGAACATAAGCATTGCGGGCTCGCACCCAGTGGTACTATGTTCAGTGTTTCTATATGAGAAAAGAAATTTACTGAGTGCCGTATTAACATTTTCATTATCAACTTGGGCCTTTTTTAATGCCCTCTTAACCATTTTCACGGCATTTTCAGCCGCCCCATTGCTCGATGGGTGATATGGTGCAACTAGGGTATGGCGAATACCGTTAATGTCCAAATATTTTTTAAATTCTGCCGAGGAGAAAGGTGGTCCATTGTCGCTAACAATTCTTTTAGGTAAGCCAAAACGCGCAAATTTTTTTCGTAAACAATCTAGTACCAGAAACATGGTCAACCTCGATCCATTTTGTATAAGCATCGACAATAACTAAATAATACTTATTATTAAATGGCCCTAAAAAGTCTAAATTTAATCGAGCCCATGGTTCCTCCGGCCACGGCCAGGAGTGCAGGGGAGCCGGGGCGGGAGCTGAGCGCTGCGACCGGCATGCGACGCATTCCTGTACTGTTCGCTCGATATCAACGTCTAATGTTTCCCACCAGACATAATTTCGCGCTATTTGCTTCATTTTTACGATGCCTGGGTGGCCGTCGTGAATTTCTTTCAAAATTGACAATCGTAATGATTTGGGAATTATTACCCGGTAACCCCAAATTAGGCAACCTTGATCCACACAAATATTTTCCTTACGATTAAAATATGCTTTTTCAGTTTCAATATTACTAGTTTTTGGCCACCCGAACATTACGTAACCATATATTTTACTCAATAAAGAATCCTTTGCCGTCTCAATTTTAATGTCTTTAAAACTAAGTGGAAAATTTTCTTGCACAAAATTAAGGTAACTACAGTCGCTGTCCTCACATTTGACTCTGTTTCTAGTAGGATTCAGAGGAAGACGAGAAAGCGCATCGGCGTGACAATTTTGAACTGATTTAATAAATTCGATTTTAAAATTATAAGCAGATAGCTGAACGGCATAACGCTGTAGTCTACTTGCGGCTGTCACAGGTATTCCTTTATTCGGCCCTAAGATGTAACTCAATGGACGATGATCACTACGTAAAATAAACTGTCGCCCGTATAAATATTGGTGGTGCTTGCGCACACCGAACACAATTGCGAGTGCCTCCTTGTCCAGCTGCGAGTAATTTTGCTCGGCGGCGTTAAGTGTACGCGACGCGCAGCACACGGGTCGCTCACTGCCGTCTGCGTACCTCTGAGCGAGCACGGCGCCCAGTCCGTATGCGCTGCTGTCCACTGATAACACCAACGGCAGAGTAGGATCGTAGTGTGCCAATACTGGTGCACTGCTCAATACTTTTTTCATTCGACAAAAAGCAACCTCACACTCATCATTCCATTGCCATTTAACATTTTTTGTAATAAGTTGTACAACGGTTTCATTATCTCACTTATATTTGAACAAAACTTTGAGTAAAAATTAACAAGGCCCATAAAACTTTTTAATTGAGTTACATTTGTTGGAGAGGGGGCTGCCATAATCGCTTTAATTTTGTTAGAATCTGTATGCAAGCCGTCCTTATCAATTTTATACCCTAAATACGTTACACAATCCTGAAAGAATTGACATTTATTGAAATTAATTCTTAATCCATTTTGTTTTAACCTTTCTAACACTGCTCTCAAATTTGCTAAATGGGTAGTTTTATCCTTTCCAGTTACACATATGTCATCTGCAAATACAGCCGTTGAAGGCAAACCACTCAATGTTTCCTCCATAATCTTTTGAAAATTTTCAGGAATACATTTTATTCCAAAAGGTACTCTTTTGTAAATGAACGTCCCGATATGAGTGGTAATTGCTGTCAGCGGCTGTGATTTTTTATCCAATAAACATTGTTGGAACGCATTTGATAAATCAAGCTTTGTGTACTGTTCGCCGCCCCCCAAGGTCGCAAAAAGTTCTTCAATCCGCGGTAAAGGATAATGAAAATCTTTTAAAATCGGATTTATGGTTATTTTATAATCCCCACATATCCTGATTGAGCCATTGGACTTAAGAACAGGGACAATAGGCGTACCGTATTCTGACCTTTCGACTTTGTAAATAACCCCTTCGTATTCTAATCGTTTGAGTTCGCTTTCGACTCGCGGGCGCAGTGCCAATGGCAGCGGCCGCGCTTTCACAAACACAGGAGTTTCAACCTTGAGGTGCAGCGATACAGGTGACTTGAATGTACCTAAACCTTCTGCAAACACTTCAGGGAATTCGTCTCTCAAAGCTTTTGCTACCGACTCCGAGTCGCTAATATTGTGACATTCAACAATTTCTATTTTCAATTTCTTAATCCACGTACGGCCCATTAAAGGTGGACCGCCGTTTTCAATAATAAATAACTTAAGCATCGCGGACTTTGAACCACAGATAACCATTACCACAATATAACCGATGGTCTCGATAACGTCGCCAGTATATGATCTCAGACATAACAACTTAGTTTGAATAGGTACATGTTTAAAATGTTTATCATAAAAATGTTTCGAAATAGCCGATATTTTACTGCCCGTGTCAATTTCAAATTTACATGTCACTTTTTCTACTACTAAATTCGCATAGTACGGTCCGTCACCGTCATTACTTGTAATCAAGTTAAAAAAATTACAGTCATCATTTGAGTCCGAATCATTTAAAAAGTACTGACCTTTGTTCTCCTTTGCACTCTTAAGTTCATTTTTACCTTGACACATTACTTTTAAATGGCCCTTCTGGCCACACGCATCACATGTATAATTTTTAAAACGACACTTACCGGCTATGTGACCGGTCTTACCGCAACGCGCACAAAGCCGACGCTGTGACGTCACCGTCATAGGCACGGGAGCCGCAGCAGATCGTGCGCGCGCTCCGCCGCTGCCGAACCGGTGCAGGCCGCCCTCGCCGCCGGCCGCCGCTGCGCCGGTCCCGCCAGCTCCGCCAGCGCTCGCGCCGCCCGATGCGCATGCCGTGCTCGCATGCCGCTCAGCTGCCTCGAGCGCCGTGGCCAACTCCACAGCTCTTTTGTAGTTTATACTCTTTTCGGCAAACAATCTTGACCGCATCTCTTCGCTATATAAACCCGACACGAACTGATCGCGAAGGTTTTCTTCCAGAGTATTACCGAAGTTGCAGGTTTTAGCCAAGTGTTTTAAGCCATGTAGGTAAACACGGATACTTTCTCCCTGCTGTTGCGTCCGCTGCCGGAAAATGTGTCGCTCCGCTATTTCAGATCTCTCCGGCTCCAAATGATTTTTGACAAGTGTAACCAATTCTTCGAACTTCTTTGTTTCCGGTTCCGCGGGTGAACACAAATCACAAATAAGATTATAGCACTCGGAACCCACTAACGTCAAAAGCGTAGCTACTTTTAGCTTGTCATCGATACTATTTAACAATATAAATTGTTTTACGCGACGAATGAAACTGTCCCAATTTTGGCTTTCGATATTAAAAGGTTCTATTTTTCCAATCGGCATTATGTCAAACAGAATTACACGTAAGTATCGAACTTCTAGACCGACTGCGCCACAGAATACTTTACTCCTAGGACTGCGCCAATGTAATGTACGCGTCAATAAAAGGCAGAGAGCTGGGAACGACCATTTATTGAAAACTTAAATTAACCCACATCACATTTATTATCCAAGTACCGACATAACAGTTTTAATATCACTCTATTACTTATTGTTAGCTCATGGGCTAAGCGCTCGTTGTAAATTACACATCGCGGGTTCGTTATTTTGCTGGCACCAATTAAGTAGTTTATTGCGATTTGAAGTGCTTATTTACCACGTGCTCGGCGTTGAATGTAACCTGTAACTAAATTTTATGTCTTAGAAATAAAATATTTCATAATGCAGAGCGTTAAGTTCACCAACATGCACTGGAGCAGTGCGGTCGACAAATTTCTCTACAACCCTTTCAGAAATTAGTGGAAGTAGAATTTAAACTAAAAAGTAAACATATAGACGATATGTTTACTTTTTAGTTTATTTTATTTATTCTTTATTGTACACCCATATATAGAAAACAAGGAGAGTAACTACAACTTAAAGTATATTATGTAAAACTTGGTGGGTCTTATTATTCTGAAAGTGATCCCTTACAGACAATCTTATGTAGAGGACTAATGAAAACAATGGGTAAAATAAAAGATATAAATATAAATATAAATATATATATATATATATATATATATATATATAGACCAATAAATAAATATAGATAGATGTCCAAATAATATCGGTCAAAATATTGAAATGAAAAAGGTAAAAAAGGTAAAGTAATTAAACTATATAATAATGTTATCAGCAATACCTTTTAACAAGGCTATTGAAAGTATGAAGAGATTTATTAGCACGACGGATGTGTAGAGGTACGGAGTTCCACAAGCGCTTATTAGTTACTTTTATTTTACTTCGTTTTTTTTTCTACTACGTTGGAGACCTGTGGAGACTTTTTAAAAAGTCCCGCTGGGTTTCTTGCTGGTTCTTCCCAGGACAGAGGGTTTTTTTTCGAACCAGTGGTAAAGTAAAAAATGACTTTCAATAAGAATTACACATGTAATGTATATTGAATAAAAAATATTCTATTCTATTCTATTCTATTCTATCGCCTAATAAATTATTTTGACCAATGTTCCAACCAATAATTATGCCAAATTAATTTATTCAGTTCAGGTCAAAGTTCATATGAAAACGGATTTAAAATTTTCCTTGTCCCCATCTTGTCCTTAGGGTATTGTAAATGGCCATTATGGGAAATGCCATCACAATCTCATGCCTTTTGTCATCCATTTAACCATCTCGTTTATATCAGACCTAAAATACCAAGACCGACGACGGAAAGCAGTATTGAATAAGTAAGAAGTCCTTTCTACAATTTTTTGTTCGTTGTACTACGTTCTTTTTGCCTTGACCTCTGAATGTTGAGACGAAATGCTTCACAGTCTATAAATATATACATATTCTTCGTAGCAAAATACGGCCACAGATATATTGTTGCTTGGTGGCAGATATATTTTTATTTATCTTTACACAATGCACTTGATTTGACTGCCTCGTGTTCATAAGGGCGTCTATCATGTGGTCCCAGGATTGATCTCCCTTTGGTCATGTCGGATTGCTGTCTTAGCATAGTGTGAGAGTAAGGGAATAGATAGTGCACCTCAGCTTGCGCACACACTCATGCGCTATAATCCTGACCTGCTTAGTTTTACATAACAAGATGTCATATATTTCTATATTACTATGTTATATAATTGTGTATTATTGTGTCTTATTTTAGGAGTACATAAGGTGGTTCATTGTTATGTAAAAGTGCGCCTCTCGCCATCAAGCCTAAAACTTTGGCGAGTTATAAATAATTATAAATAGTTATAAATTCATTAATAAAAAAAAGATGTCTAGTCCCCGATGAGACTGGGTACCATGCCCAAAATTTGGTCTGGTATTTATTATTATTACTCTTAACACGGAATATAAATCAATTTATATTTCGTTAGCCACAATATTTGAATAATTGTTATTAACTTCTAAAGCTATTTATTAAATCTAAGTATTAAATTTATAGAAGCATTGCCAACATTTTCAGTGAAGCGACATAATTACAAATCGGTCGCCCTTTGTTGCAGATTTCAATTGAATCTTTGGAATAGAACAAAGTTTAAAAGTAAAATTACTTGAAGGATTTAGGTATATTTAATATCTTTCAGGTAAACGACCTCTGTACAATTATTTAAATTATGTTACACAGGCCGGCCATATAACTCATCGAACTGACAACGGATGCGGAAGAAAGGTACAGGCCACTGTCTCAGATGACCTGAATAAGAAGTCAATAGATATAGGTGGCTCATGACTATGCTTTGTGGCATTTGATACATGATATAATTAAACTAAGCTGAGCTAAAACAGCGTTAAGCGACAGTACAGCGATGAGCTTAGTGGTTCGGTTACTGTTCTAACTTTATAAATTAACTCAATAAATTACTCTCCTTTGGTTGGCCAATACACAAAGCTCTTTTATTATATTCAATTTATATTGGCGAAGCAAATAAAATAGGAGTCATTTATAAAATAACACACACATATAGGCACGCTCTCACACTCATAAACTGAGTGCCGTGTGTGTGTGTGTGTGTACACACACGCGCACGTACTCACAGATACACACCCACACCTGTGGTTTCCTAGACACTTAACGAATCTAGGTTTGACAAAGCAGATTTGGCCGAGTGGCCATACAGTTAGCATCGGTGACATTAGCCAACAATGCCCCTGTTTCGGGGGGCTTCTACTGCGATACCCGTGAGATTACAGATTCGCGGACATTAAGAATTTCTTTTCCTTTCGGAGACGGGTCTAAGATAACTAGACAAAGGGCTAGGTATCTTTTTTTATACCAGACCATATCTATACTTCAAGTGAGTGGTTCTAGTAAATAATACTTATATATATATATATATATATATATATATGTAACTGGTTTCTAGGAGATCGGCATATTATAACATTAACATTTCTTTCATAAATCAATGCCAGGAAGTAGGCTGTATCGATTAAAAAAATTTTAGTAATAATTAAACGAAAATTAAAAATAAACTTTTGTGATACGTACTGGAAAATCGAGAGATCTGCTCACAAGGCACGTTAATTACTTTATCCCTATCGTTGGTATCTGTATTTTGCTCTCAGATATATTTAGTTGAATGACGTGAAGTTAGCAGCAGAAATGGGAGAGAAAATAATAATCAAACTGCACAACCGTATTACAAATTAATGTGTATTCATTATTGTAATTTATTATCAATCATTACATAATGACCTACTTTTAGAACAATAATACAACAACTGATCAATATAACTCCTAAATCTTTATATATAAAAATTATGTGTCACGTTGTTTATCCGCGATGAACTCCTAAACGGCTGAAGTGATTTCAATGAAATTTTGCACAATGTGTGCAGTTTGGTCTAACTTGAGAGATAGGATAGTTTTTATTCCGATAAGTGACCCTCAATATTTTTATTGCTAATCTCAGGAGGTTTTTTGAGCATAGCAAACAGTCATCGAACAGGGTAGAACAACGTCTGCCTGTTCAGCTAGTAATAATATAAATTAAAAAATTATAATGCGCGCGCACAATCCACTATGGAAGCAAAATGGCGGCAAATCAGAAAACTGATGCTAACAAAATCAGAGGATATAGTTTGAAGTTGCGGCTATATATCTATCATCTACATCCAAAATTTAATTGCTCCACTCGGTATAGACATATATATATAGTTGGATTCGAACCTGTAAAACATATTTTGGGTGTGTTTTGTGACCTTTCCAAGGCCTTCGACCGTGTTTACCATGAGACATTAATTAGGAAGCTACAGTATGGTGTCAAGAACACAGCGCTTAAACTTATTATTTCATATTTAAGTAATAGAATGCAGAAAGTTATTATTAATGGTACAACTTCTTCCGGGTCATCCGTAATGATGGGTGTCCCTCAGGGCTCGATTTTTGGGCCATTCCTATTTTTAGTGTATATTAATGACTTACCTTCCCTTGTAGGGGATAATCATGATAAAGTATTATTAGCTGATGATACTTCATTGATTTTTAAACTTAACGTCTATTATTTAAATGTGACGAAGTTAATAATGCTATATCAAAATTCGTGCACTAGTTTAAAGTTAATAATCTGCATTTAAACGGCAATAAAACTAAATGTATTAAATTTACAATAAAGAATATTAAAAATCTGAATACCAATGTGTTTTTAAATGGGGAAGAACTGAGCCCTGTTGAATCCTCTGTTTTTCTTGGCATCGCTCTCGACGCAAAGCTTCAGTGGGGCGCCCATATATCCAAACTTGCAAGCAGACTAAGGTCTGCAGCTTATGCTGTAAAAAAGATTAGAGATCTCACTAGTGTCGAGACAGCTACATATATTAGTTTATTTCAGTTATTTCCATAGCATAATGTCTTCTGGGACTTTGGTAAGGGGAAATGCGGCTGATTTTTAGAAACTATTTTTGTTTTGCAGAAGAAGGCTATAAGAGCTATTTACAACCTTAAACCGAGAGAATCTCTTATAGAAAAATTAAAAATAATATATTAACTTTGGCCTCTCAGTATATTTACGAAAATTTAATGTATGTTCACAAAAACAAAGATAGTTTTAGCAAAAAAATGATATACACTCTGTAAACACTAGGAACAAACACAAGCTAGAGATACCAGTCTCTCGACTCCACAGCGTCAGTAATTCATTCTAGGGGCAACTCGGGTAGGCCTCGTTCGGGAGATTGCGACACACGTTCTCGTCACATATACCACAAAACTTGAAAACAAGATTGCACAAATGAAGAAGTTTAAGGTCGCTCAATGAGCTGTGGAGAGGGCTTTACTCGAAGTTTCTACGTGATGGACTTAGATATTAGGATATCCTCAGTAAACTAGAGTAACCGACAAAGCCCAA